AATAAAGGTCTGGGTTGATAGAGAAAATGAAAAAAAGGTGGTTAATTTTTCGAGAAGCAGTAGTAGCAGTAGTAGTAATAATAGTAACACTTTCAGTGGGAATAGTAATGCAAAATAAAAATGGTGCTGGGACTCTCATTTATGGCTTAGGATCCGAGAACTTCTCCCTCTTAGAGTGTTTATGACTCTTTGTGCACCATTTTTATTTCAAACGCTATTTTCCTAGTCATCTCTTTTTATATATATTTCTTAGCCAGCCGAAGGCGTTAAAGCTAAGGCATCTATCTAAAAATTTTTAATAAAACTCTGAATGTTAATTTTTTAAATAATAATAATAATAAATTTTTTGCATGCAAGATTTTACGTGCAAGATATCTGAGTATAATGTTCCATCCAAATTATAATTACATTACAGATAAGCTCCCAATAAGTATAAAAGATAGGGCATATCAAAGGCTTCTAAATTATTTGCATAAACCTATTTCTCTAAATCAGATTTCAGAGAAAAATAAGCGGATAGAGGATTATTTACACCATATATTAGAGATTTATCAGAAATCATTAGACCGGAGTCGTAAAGCTATAGATCGGAAAAAACCATGACCTCAAAATTGGCCAGAATACCCAGTACCCAATATTAAACCCCAATCAGAAAACAAGTCAGATGATCATAGGGCGGGAATTAATGATCAGACTAAATATGAACTTATTATTCTGCAAAAGCAATTGCTTAATATAATAAAGAAACATTTAGTCATTTTATGCAGAATCTAACTAGAGAACATGAGAAACGAATCAAGGAAAATAATCATCTGCACTATGAAATTAATGAAATAAAGGTGCAGATGCAGGGGTTAGAAAAAGCCCTTGCTATTATGAAATCATCAGTATAAAATTAGCCGATAATCTTATATAAATATATCATACAAAGCACCTCTAGCTAAACCCTCTGTTAATCACGAGAGATCTACAAACTGGAAACTAACGAGACATTAAAAAGGAGTCAGATGTATCATAATACAATGATGATCATGTTGTGTATATTGTCTCAGATCTAATTTAACCGAATCAAAAAATCAGTTATAAATCCATTTTCACCCCAAAGTTAACTGAATAAAAATGAATCTGATATTTTATTATTATATACTTGCTACAAACTGCTATAATAAGAAATATTTGCTAAAAAACGTTATATATTACTAAAATTGCTATAAACCCCTACACCTGTAAAATGATTAAAACAGCTGAAAGACATATAGCATCATTTAATCATATACAAACAAATACAAAAAAAGTGGGAAGAGTATCATCACTTAGTTCTGATGAGATTGATAGAATTTTTATAAATTATTCTATTTATCTACAGCATGGTTTTTATACATATAATACGGATTATAAATTTAGACAAAGAATTGTTTATTCCATATTTAACAGTGCAAAAATTATCCAACGGGCTTGGAGAACTTTCAAGTTAAGACCTGAGACATAGGCAAAATGAGTTTGGAATATGGTGAGATATGATAGTACTCCTGACGAGAATAAGTATCTTTGTTCTCGTGATCATAGAGACGTTTATAATCTATATGTATGGTATATTGATCGAAAAATTCTAGCAAAAGATGTATCTAAAGATTTTCTAAATAGACTACATAATAATCATGTTCCATACGACTGAGCAGAAAAGAAGAAATATTAGTTAAAGGAATGATTACTTATTGTGGCATACATAGTTGTTTTTATAGAATTACATCTGAAAGGTTATAGAATCATTGAATGTTCAGATTGGTCTTATATGTTAAAGTGGCTATCAAATCCTGAATATCACCATAATGTTAAATACCTCAACAATAGCAATGTAAACTTTGTTAGAAGTTCAGAATATGGACGATACATGTGTAAAATAGCAGGTAAAGCATATCCATGTAAATCGCTAGAAATTGACTATTATAAATCTGGATATCTTATTATCGAAAGAAAGCTTAATAGTATAGATTTCTTAGATTCGAATAATAATTGTAAGTATGTGTAACGTATTTTCCGGGCTATAGATTCTTTACCAAAATAGTATATTACATATTTATTATAATAATACAATAAATTAATCCTTTCTTTTTTTTTGCATAGATCACCAATGCATATAGGCATGTACGATAGCCATTAAGATGCTAAAGTATAAATAAACATGTTTCTGATTCTCATTAAAATATATATGATGTAATAGTGATACACTGCCAATCATCTGTGCAAGTGCGACTATCTGCTTGTGGACAAAATAATTTCACACATAAATCGACCCCTCCTTTGATGCAGGAGATAAACCCTGCCCTGAAGATCTTTGATCGAAGGGGATATTTCATTTTTTTCTCCCTCCTTTAGTCATAGACCTGCAGGAGATAATCTTTCCTAATAATAGTATATCCAGATAGATGAAAAAAATCTATATATGCATTACCCCCAACACCTTTCTAAAGTCAAGATCTTTAATGCATATTCCACATACCCTTATCTTTGAATACAAACTTTTGGCGCAAAGTGCCTTGCATATTTTCTCCTATCTCTTTTTCAATATCAATGTGAGTTTAGAAAGGTGCAAATGTGGGGAAATGGTGGCATTTAAAAAGGCAGTATAGGTAATTTTTAGCTTTTCTCTGGTTATTTTGCTTTTTGCGTTATCTCAGTACATTAACATTATTTTATATCCCAAACTAACTGCACAAACATGTCTACCATAATGTATAATAAGATTTATGAATTCTTGACAACTGCTGAGGAACGTCAAATAAACGCTACATCTGTTATTTATCTTAGAATGAAAGAAAACCGCTGCGTTTCCCAAACAGAGTTAAAATCAATTGTAAAACGAGCCGTGGGATCTGCTAGCAATGTATTTATGGAAGGTTCTTCTCATCAATTAAAAATTTTCCGAATCCTACCACAGGTTAGTTAGGATTTATACAAACATTTTAGCTTTTATTATTATATGATGATACTGTGTGATCGTTTACTAAAGTAAACCTGAATAAACAAGTTATTTTTTGCTTATGTTCGATCTACCCATTCAGTTCGCTTGCCAGTAAATACTTACATGTAGTAGAGGGGTGTATATGCTATAATCTGTTATGCAGTTTTATAGTTCACCCTACCAACCTATTATGTGAAAAGGTTATTGCCATATCGAGGGGTGTGTTAAGATATGAGTTATTATGTTGCTTTATTAGTATTATACGAAGTTTCATCTGCATGATAGTCACACAAAGATAATAACTTCGCATATACACTGATGATTATGTTATTTTTATAATGAGAACTTCTTTTTTATTTCTGAAATCTAACACAATACTTTTTTTAGTTCGACATTAGCTTTGAAGGTATTTGTAGCTTATACGACATGAGGGCAATTAAAACAGATAAGGAAATTCCTTTTGGCTCAGATCAAATTGAAGATAATATAAATGATCTGAAAGAAAAGCTTAGAAAAGACACTTCGCCTCTCTATCAACAATTATATTCCAAAGTAAATGCTATATCTATTCAAAGCTTAACCTGGAAGGATCCTTTGGCCAGCCGAGTTATTAGCAATCAATCAACAGTTGTCAAGCAGTTGTCATCAAATCTAAAAAAGGCATTTAAGGTAGGTAACCATAAATTTGTTGAAGGTTCTTTGAGAATAAATATAACATATATTTTATATTAGAAACCTGCTTGGCAAATAGTGCCTGCTCCTATGATGATAGTTAAAGAAATGTGTGAAAATTTCATAACAAGTTTTGTCGATTGTAATATTCAGAATACAATACTGGATAAACTAATTCACGATGGGACCTAGAAAGAATCGGAAGAAAAAATCATGGATGTTATAAAAAAAGTTTTAATTCTTCTGGAAGATATTTGGATTAACCTAGCTTTTAATTCTGAACTTGCGAAATCACTAAATGAAGGAACCTATCAATCAACGGTTATTCTATTGTCTATTCGAGCAATATTAAAAAACCTTCCTTTTAGACTATCCTCATTTATCAGTACTTCAGAATGACAGAGTATAGCTAGTGCGGATAGGAAAGATGAAAGGCAGGTGGGAAGATGACTAGATATTATGTATGTGGTAAAATATTTAGATATTTTCTTCAAGCTTATGTATGTCGAATGTTCACGATTATACTGTAGTCAATAGAAAAAGATAGATGATGAGATAAAGCTATGGAGAGAAAGTAATAATAGAATGTTCTGGATTCGCAAAGTCTTTAAACCAGAGAAAGATCAATTTGGAATAGTTGGAGTGCAAGTAGCTAGGAATATGTTGCATCTGAATGTACTTATTAGAGATAAAGCGAACATTCATAGGTATTTTCATTTACAATTGGCTGAAATTCCTGTGCAATTGTCAGATGTGAGTGTTATAACTAAATTTGTGGAAACCCTTTTACTTTTACGAAACATATTAATTACAAATTTGTTCCTACTATATCACGCATCTATTTCTATATTAGAAAGATAAAAAGAAGATAGTACTACAGTTTCTACTCCAATGCGAGATGATTAGAGTTTCTTTTTTTTGTAATTTATCATATATTTTTATTTTTTCTGTATCAATAAAGGGACCCTAGTGATCAATTTCACAAATATACATTCATATTTTTTCATATGAGAATAATAATTTCTTGGCAAAAGTGATCAGTGTGAAGAATCTTTACGCTCACGTGATTTTTTTTATTTTGAATGCTTATGTACAGTGTATAGTTTTATAGATTATAACATCAGAGCTTAAATTATTGAAACAATGCATTAGCGAGCTTGAGACTAAGAACGTCAAGCTTGAGGCTGAGAAAGCTGAGATTAAGGCTAGGAATGTCGAGCTTCTAAAGCAGGTTATAGATGAGAATGCTAAGCATAATGCTAGAATCGAGGAATTAGAACTAAAAAATACGGAACTTGAGGCCAGATTCTTGATGTTGGAACAGGGATCCTCGGTAGTGGATGGGCAGTCACAGAAGGATAGGGAAATGATAGCAGAAATATCAGCTGTTGATGAATCTGACTCCGTAATAGACCAGCAAAATGATGTCAACACCAAGTCAATAGAAGAGGTACCTGAGGTGATTGCAGAGCAATCGGTATCAGATAAGGTAATAGATGATTTTATTCTCGAAGAATCTGTCAATGTACCTGACTCAGTTATAGCTAAGCCTCCGCCTATTCACGAAGTTTATAGTCAGTTAAATTTATCAGAGGTACAAGATCTAGGGCTGTGCAATCAGAATGGTTTGACTCTCACCTCACAGATCGAAGAGGTAGTTTTGCTATCAGATCAAGGGGGATCATTAGAGGACAGAGAGATAGATACTTTCTTGGATGAAGATCATAAGAAAAGGATTAGTGAGGAAATAAGACAAAGGAAGCAGGAGAAAAAGCTTCAAGAAGGTGATTTCTGGGAGAAGAATTTGGATTCAGAATCATTCATAGCCGATATCTCTGGTATCAATTCTCAGGATTCTGTCATTCCTTTGAATGAAAAAGATGGATAAAATGTTTATCTTGCCAGTCTATCATCCGAATCATGTGTTGCTTCGCCTAGCTTTAAATATAGTAAGGACGGGAAACTTCCCTATAAATAAAAAGTAGAAAAAGGTTTAATATGTGAATTACTTGAATTCATTAGAAGCCATAAATCCTTACCGAATTCTACTGCATCTAGTAAACAAATTCCAGTCGATTCTGATCTAGCTTTGGGTTCTATACCTCATTTAGCTCACTTATTTGATAAAGCTGAAAAAACTGGTCAGAAAGAAAAGTTACGTTAGTATTACTATAATGAGGAATTCGAAAAAAAGCCATAACTATTGCTTTGAGAAGCAATATTAGTGATCAAATGGCAAGAACGCAGATTTACGATGAAATGGAGCCCTATCTTCTAGGTAAAAAGAGAGATAATTTACGCAAGATGACTCAAAAAGCTAAAAATATTTATACACTGTTTAAAGAAGTAGGAATAGACAAAATCGGGTTAGTTATATACAGTGTCAATGCTATTGGAAGTTTAACGGGTGCACAAATTCAAAATATAATAAACCTTTACATTACAGAATGTCAAAAAGTGATCAGCGTGAAGAATTCTTCACACTTACGTGATCTACCGGCTGAATCTTCTGAGGTAAGCATTTTAACCTCACCTATTCTTTTATCTCATGTCTCTAATTCTCCAGATAATTCCTCTGGAATCGATTCAAAGAATTCACTTGCTTCACAAAGTGATCAGCTCATTCCACTCCAGAAGAAGTTACCAAAATGGAAGCGTAATAAGGTTATTGATTTAGTGATAAATCGATTCAAAAGAACTACCTCATGCCTAGACCTTCATGCCAGTATAGATAGGGAATGTCTTAACCAAGTAGATTGCTACCTCATCCATGATATGTAAATCTGCCCTATATGCAAAAAAGATCATTGTTATCTGGAAGGCTACTGGTTGATCGATAGCGAAGGTAGTAAAAAATATTATTTGATTTGCGATAATATCCAAGAACCCGGAATCCTACTTAATGAGGTGTTAACATTATATTCTGAAAAAACAAGTCCAGATAACTGGAATCATCTTCTGAAAGTTCCAAATAGAGAAGTAACAGTGAAAGCGTAGGGAATAGTTTTGAGGAAAAATTCTTCTCATTAGTTGGGGTACTTTTTTCCTTGTACTTCTGTAAAGTAAAATCCCAGTCAAGATCACACGCTTTTTAAGGATCTATATAAATCAAAGGTTCACCCATTTTCTTTTATAATTGCGAAAAAAGAATGTCAATTAGCAGGCCTCATCCAAGGCAGAGAAGAACATGTGAAGAACATAAAGCTGAGCTGAAGGAGAAGAACTTTCATCTTCGAGATGCATTACAAACAAAGGTAGAAAATAATCACCTGAATGAGAAACAGTTTAATCAACTGAAGTGAGATTATTCCCGATGTGAACAAGAAATCCAAAATCTCAATAAAGACATAGAGCGTCTTGAGAATGTTTCAGAAGAAGAGATAGCAAAGCTAAGATTTGAAATCTCCAGTCTAAAAAGTCAGCTATATCAAGCTAGGAAAGATGTGCGAGATAAGGAACAATATATCTCTACTTTAGAAGAGC